ATATATATATATATATACTATTATCTCAATGTATGTTAAACACAAGAAAAAATCTTATTTGACAATCATTTCTTAATGAAATTAAATGTATATTCCATCCTTCTGGCTCCCCCAATCAGACCATGTGTCTTTGGATGAATATTAATTGCTGCTAGATTGACACAAGTTTCAACTATCTGTTTTTTTGCCATGTTTTCTATTCTACTCTATTTTATTCTAGAATATTCCTATCTACGTCCTATCCTATAGATGTAAGCACCAAGAAATCTTGTTCACATAAAGAGAGAAATGTGAGAAGTTTCGTTATAACATTATCATTTAAATATTTAGGTGTCTAATTTATAAGCCAAAGGTCACACTGTAATCATCATTAAAGAAGAATTTTAATTACCTATCAGCTGATAAATCAAATATGATCTCCTTAATTCTATTGAAAGCAAAGCACTGGAAGCTAGGTCAATTGCAAAAGGGTTTGGAATTCAGTCACTAGAGTCATTCTCATTCTCAGTGTCTCGAAAGAATGCAAAAAAGGCTTACCAGCGCTTATAAATGGTTACTAATTGTTACTAATTGATATACTCAAGAACTTTGGGGAGATTGAAATATTATTCATTTCAATATACTTTTGTCAATAGAAAACCTCATAACGTGTTTTTTATTATTGTCAAAACTATGACTTGCACATGTAGCTGATTAAATTTCTAGAAAGCATCTACCAATAATCTGATTTGCAAAGCCAGGTGTCATTGTCCAGATAATCAGTAAAATTAGTTTTATGACCGATAGGAAAAATATTATTTCATTTTTAATTGTAATAAACTCACAAATATATATTCTTATGATAATTATCCCATTTCTGAGTTCTAAGATAAGGTAAAGAATTTTACTGGGTATTTGTTACCTGGATTCAATGTTTCTTTCCATGCTCTCTATTTTATTATTATGCAACTCTCAGGGGCAATACAAACATTGACAAGAGTTGAGGAAGGAAGAGGTGAGGCTTAAAATGAAAATTTTTATTATTTCTGCCATCCACCACCACAATATGAATGAGTACAGAAAATTCCAAAATGAGCCGAAAGTACCCATTTTTAATGTCATGCTTTTTTTTATACCAGAAATATGTTTAAGACAGATGGATGTATGAGACCTACAATGGGCTTATGATTCCTTGATTTAAGAGACTTTGTGCAAATATCAATATTTTGAATGTCTTTTTGTAAAAGACAAGCAAGTTTTTCACTCCAAGATATATCTAAAATACATATTATAAGTAAATATTCATATATTAAAATAAATACACAAGTCATGTCTTGATTGAATTATCAACATTATAATAGTGATCTTATATAATTATTATCTACAAAGATCATAAGATTATTGATCATGCACAGTTTTAGGGATTCCAAAATGATGTTGAAATAGGTTGAGGCCGAAACTGAACCTTAACGGCAGATTCTAGCCAAATGTCAAAGATCAATGTTACAGTATTCCAACTTTTAATAGTAGGTAGCCACTTAACTCACATGAATGAAAATATAGTAATGAAATTCCAGGCATCGGTTTAATAGGCACTCAATAAATATTTGTTGAGTGAAAGAACAAATAAAACAAATTGGTTATCATTTCTTGTCTAAAGTAATGTTCATATAATCAGGGAAAACATCTGGAAAAGAAACAATCTGAAATACAATATGGGAATATTCTAACTGACCTAAAAGCAGGATGACATAGCAGTTAAGAGAATAGACTCAATTGTCAAACTCCTGGGAATGGATCCCAGGTTCGTCACTTACTGTACCATCTTGGACAAATTACATAATCTCTCAGTGCTTCAGCTCATATATAAAGTTGACTTAAGAGTAGCTCTCCAAGGATTAGATTACATTAGTTAACACACTTATAAGTACTTAGAAAGTATCTGTCATAGAGTGAGTGCTATATAAATGTTCATTATTGTTAGTAAAACTGGCTTTCCAGTTTTTTATCTTAGAAACTCTTTTTTTGTGCAGGGGACATTTGTTGTACATAACTGATGTGTAAGATTCATGGTTTTGAGCACCAAGTGTAAATGACTGAGCCAAGAAATTCCCACACAAAGAGTAAAATTGCACACACCAAATCATTCACTAAAGCAAAAATTAATAGTCATAAAACTTGAGATGAACTGAAATGCTTAATAAAAATGAAGACACATGCTGTATATTGCCTTGGTAGAATCTATCTTACACATCTATCAAAATAGGAAGACTTTATCACAACATCAAAAGCTTTAATACTTACTGCTGAATAAAAAGGAACAAAAGCTAAGCTTTGACTATAATAACAGCATTAAATTTTGACATAAACTAGGAAGAGAGGAGAATAAGTAAAAGTGAAAAGAGTTGACTTTGTAATTGCTGATAATTCTGATACAATTTTAATTGTATAAAAAATTGATTTTTTAAAATCTCAAAATGAAGCTAATATTTAAAAAAAAACTCTGTGAAAGACATCATTACCTTTGGACATATTTCTAAACTGTTACTTCCAAAGGAAAATATGTTTACAGAGCATTGAGCAACCATGAGTGGGTGAGAATGGAGGTGTCCTTGTCACTTAGTGTACATTGGGGG